TCGGATCTTCTGGTACACTAGATTCAGGGTGAATGGGAGGCACGAGATTTGAAGCTCATACCATACCGGCAGTGTTTGCATGAACTTTGTCAACAGTTTCAATCAATAGACTTCAGGCATATTCCAAGGATTCACAATGAGGTTGCCGACGCTTTGGCCACTTTGGCATCAATGTTGCATTATCCAAACAAGGCTTATGTGGACCCGTTACAGATTCAGGTCCGAGATCAGCATGCTTATTGTAATATGGTGGAAGAAGAGCTTGACGGTGAGCCATGGTTCCACGATATCAAGCAATACCTCCGGATAGGAGTGTACCCAGCACAAGCTACAGGGGATCAAAAGAGAGCAATCCGACGCTTGGCAAGCGAATTTTTCTTCAGTGGAGGAGTGTTGTACAAGAGAACTCCAGAGCTTGGATTGTTGAGATGCATGGATGCTAAACAGGCTACAGTTATCATGGCTGAGGTACATGCGGGAGTTTGCAGACCTCATATGAGTGGATATGTATTGGCAAAGAAGATTCTCCGAGCAGGTTATTATTGGCTTACTATGGAACGGGATTGCATCAGTTTCATGCGCAAGTGTCATTAATGTCAGGTACATGGAGATTTGATTCATTCTCCACCATCTAAATTGCATACAATGTCAGCACCATGGCCGTTCGTTGCTTGCGGAATGGACGTCATTGGGCCGATCGAGCCAGCGGCGTCAAATGGGCACAGGTTCATTCTGGTAGCTATTGATTATTTCACTAAGTGGGTTGAAGCAAAAACCTTTAAATCTGTGACCAAGAAGGCAGTGGTCGATTTTGTGCATTCAAACATCATCTGTCGATCTGGGATCCCGAAGGTCATCATCACGGACAATGGTGCCAATCTCAACAGTTATTTGATGGCAGAGACATGTCAGCAGTTTAAGATCACGCACCGTAATTCCACCCAATATCGTTCTAAGGCAAATGGAGCAGTCGAAGCAGCTAACAAGAACATCAAGAAAATACTTCGGAAAATGGTAGAGGGGTCCAGGCAATGGCATGAGAAGTTACCTTTTGCCCTTTTAGGCTATCGCACTACTGTCCGCACTTCAGTAGGGGCAACTCCTTATTCACTGGTATATGGCACTGAAGCAGTAATACCCGCAGAGGTTGAAATCCCGTCCCTTCGGATCATCGCTGAGGCGGAAATTGATGATGTTGAATGGGTTAAAGCCCGCTTGAAACAACTGAGTTTGATTGATGAAAAGAGATTGGCAGCAGTATGTCATGGTCAGTTATACCAACAGAGAATGGCAAGGGCATATAACAAGAAAGTGCGTCCGCGGAAGTTTGAAGTAGGGCAGTTGGTGTTGAGACGTATCTTACCTCATTGGGCTGAGGCAAAAGGAAAGTTCGCCCCAAACTGGCAGGGGCCATTTGTTGTAACCAGAGTGTTGTCCAATGGCGCATTATATTTGACAGGTGTGGAAGGAAAATGTGTATAAATGGCTATCAACTCTGACGCAGTCAAGCGATACTATGTATGATTTCTTGGTTTAATTGTACTTTATTGTATTTGGCATATTTTTGAGATTAAAATGACGAAGGCATTTTGTTCTGCTATCTAAACACTTTATCTTTTGTTACCCGTTTTGAGCCTCATTTACTTTCTTTCGTACCCCTCTTTCGGAATCAATAACAACTCGAAAGCTCGAGCAAGGAAAATCAGTGAAGCACAGTCCAACGGAAAGAAAAGAAAAGAAAAAGAAGAAAAAAAAGGGAAAAAAGAAAAAGGAAAAGAAGAGAAAAGAAAAAGAAAAGAAAAGAAAAGAGAAGGAAAAGAAAAGAAATGCAAAGAAAGAAAAGAAATGTGAAAGAAAAGGAAAGATCGCAACAACGAAGTAATTCTATGACCTGAACTACGTTTGACTTGATCCCGAAAGGGTACGTAGGCAGCCTCTCTCTGAGGTTCAGTCACACCAAAACAAACTCCCACAAGTCCCCACGGAAGAAACTGGGGGAGAAGTTATGGTTGTGCAAGAAAATTGATTCCGAAAGTTGTAGTTGTGAACCCATATTGAATTGTTTTAGAGCCTTTATACCCTTTTCTTTCTAACCTCATCCAAAAGCCTACATTACGGTCCAAAGAAAGACCTTTTGATCAATCTTCAGGAAATGCTAATACGAGCGAGTAAAAGTGATTCACGTCAGGGGCAACACTCCGGTACAAGAAAAATAATGAAAATGAGAGAGTCTTACTGGTGAAAACCCTCACGGGCACCGTAAGGCGACGGGAGCTGAGAGAAATAAAAATGAGAGAATCTTATTGGTGAAAACCCTCACGGGCACCGTAAGGCGAAGCGAGTTGAGAGAAACAAAAATGAGAGAGTCTTATCGGTGAAAACCCCCACGGGCACCATAAGGCGAAGTGAGTTGAGAGAAATCAAAATGAGAAAGTCTTATTGGTGAAAACCCTCACGGGCACCGTAAGGCGAAGGCGAGTTTTTCAGACAGGCAAATGAGACAAGTCTATGGTCAAAAGATGCTCAGGACATTGCAAGACAAGCAAGGTTCGGGTTCGGGTGAAGATCAGGTTATGAAAGTCCGGAACAACAAAGGTGGCAATCGAAAGTTGATTGGTTAGACAGACTGGGCTGGTTAATCAAAAATGCATGGCATACGCAATGGTACCAGCTGTTCCGCTCAGATAAGTCTTATTCTCTTCTTTCCTCATTACAAATCATCCGTTCTCGGATTCTTTTTACCCTTAATCCTCGAGGTCGTTGCATTTCATTCTTTCGAGGTCTATCTTTAAGATGTTTCAGTGACAGTTCTGTTCGAAACAAAAGGAAGGAATGTCAAGGCTAACTACCAGCTTCCTAGTTGTATAGACAGGGCCAGAATATAGCAAAGGTGTCAAAAGGCAAAGTAAGTCATAAAGGACCACTGGAAGTTTCATCGGTGGATTAATCGGATAATTGTGGGGAAGAAGTGAAGTTTCAAAAAAGAGGGGTCAGAAACACAAAAGCAACAATATGGGATAGAAAACTTGGGTCATCAGAGTCAAGGGGTTGAAATTCGGTCAGGAAGTCGAGGGGATTCAAGGCAAGTCCAGGAAAGCGG